GAAAAACTTCGCCACCACCACCACCACCACCACCACGAAGAACACCTTCGCCACCATCACCAACACCACCACCACTACCACCACGAAAAACACCTTCACCACCATCACCAACACCACCACCGGCACCACCACCATCATTATCTGTATGTTCCAAGACCTGAGCTTGCACAGTCACAGTAAAGCATTCACGGCATTGTGGATTGTTTACTGACATCGTGAAAATAATTCCACTGATCTACCGAATAAACCGAATAAATAAATAAATGGTATACAGTAATGCTCTCTGACATAATACGTTACTCAAGCGCAATATTTGACAACTACGAGGGCGGCAGTACCCAACTTTTAGCCTTTTGTACATGGCCGAGTAGTAATTTCTGTTGGTATATAAATCTATGAGACCCGATGTCCCTGTTTGCTCAAATAAAATGTTTTTTCCTTGGGGGTGGGGTGGGCTTCAATGATACAATTAGTCGGAACCGAAATTACATGTTTGCTTGGAGTGGATGAACGCTACTGCAGGGTGAACTCAAAGATGGAAGCACCGGGGCAGCTTCGGTTATAAAAGCTATTAGAGAACTGACAACGTTTTGAGTTCCATTTAACCGTGTGCAAAATAAGTTGGTGACTAGACTGCCGCTGGCGTACGTGGCGTAACCTTGGTTTTTATCCCATAGTTATCATCAACAAATGTCGAACTGTTGCTCCTTTCGATATTCACAGGATACATGAATAAAATCCGTGCATGCTGTGGATAAAAGGATGTAACAATACGGAAGAGGACTATGGTTTAGGTGAATGTGTTCATCCAATTTGTGACCCGTACATTTTTTGCTGAAACCCGAATGAGAGAGTGAAGAACACCGAGGAAAATGTCCCCATTGTGTCTCGTTCAGTTACGTAAATGTAAATCCACAGTGAATTAAGTAGTATGTTTATTGTAGTAGGCACACGTAACCAGTTCGTAGGCCGGTGAGAAAACAGGAACGGGGAACACGTAGGTAAGTAGGCCGACCACAGGCTCAAGTGTCGCATGACGTCCGTACGCAGTCAAGTACGCATTCCAACAGCCAACGAATTAACGCGGATAGTCCAATTCTTACACCTGATTGGCTGGAGCCGATCTATATTGTAGTAGTCAGTTCGCATGGCGTGAGTGAGTGCGATTGTGGTGCCGAATCGATCAATTAATCCGGCCACAGGTATCAACGACAAAAATATCAGTCGATCGTAGGCCATAACAGTCACAAAGACTAATGTATCAAAGAAGATGTTTCTTTGATGGGCGATAATAAGAACTGAACAGTTGTTTCATGACTGTTCGAACTAGTCAAAAATGAGTGGCATTTTTTTGTCCCGGGCAGGGGGAGTAAAACCGGCACCTTGATATAATATACAGAGTAGCCTCGGCTTGTGACACCAAACTGCACAAGTCAAAATTCACACTTCAATCAAAAAATTAAATAAATAAAGTGTTCGTATGAATTCTCAATTGGAAGAAACTGGCTAGATCCGACAGGGACCAAATGCTAGTGCTAATCAGTATTCAATAAATCGTCCTGATCAAGGGGGTGCAAATAAGAACAACTTGCCCCTCTGCATTTCTCTATCTAAGCTATACAATGGGAAACTGGAGTCGTACAAGCCGATTAACGACGTCCTTATGACTTGAAATATATTATGTGATCCCCAGACTAAAAACGATGACTAACATGGATCGGAAATTGAATAGTGTGATAGAAAGTAGGTAGAAACGTAGCGCAGCTAAGTGGAAGCGCGCGTTGTATTTAGACGTCGACAGATCGCTTGAAAGCGTTATTTATCGGTTTATTAACGCTCAGATTCTACGAGCCCCTTTTATCCGGATTTATTTTATTTTCTGATAAAATAATTCAGTTTAGTGATGTCTGCTGAATACAAAGACAATAAGCCATTTTTGTGTGCATCAAACCTGAAAACTAAACAAAAGCAATCAACTCCCTTCTGGAGTGGATGAAATACCTCACAGCTATTATTATCAGATAGAAGGAATCATCATTGACAAGTCCACAATCTGGACTATTTTTCGGCTCTTGTTGATTAAACAGTTCGAAAAAAACTTAGCACAGCTCAATTTCAGCTTACGTTGATCGATTTTCTGTTAAAAAATCTGCCTAAATGCGTGGATGAGACCTGGAGAGCGTTGGACAGAGAGAGAGAAAGTGTTTCGGTGACAGTATCATGATCGCTAACATCCGGTCGATGACCATTCACCCAGCACGTGCCGGTGAACAAGCTTCACCCTGAATAAATAAACCTCACAGTGGGGCGTAGACAGCCAAGTTTTATTTCCGGTCAATAATTTGTCGGTTGCGAATAATTAGGTCGTCTGTCACCCACAAAAACTTAGTCCGTTAATTAAATGGTGGTTTACTTTCGCTCGACAGGATGCGGAACACAGAAATCGTTCAGGTACAACCAACACTGCAATTTCAACTCACCTTTTACTGTCATCTACCCGATAGTATATGAAAAGTTCTTAATCCTTTCCCTTTAGTCGTTCGAATTCTGAATAAAAGTGACCACAGCATCATAGCTCAAGCCTCTCTTCAATTGTTTCAGGTAATACCTTGCTGTTCATACAGCGATTTCCCCTTCTCAGCAATAGTTTAGTCTAGTTGTCTCAAATCTCCTAAGTTCAGCGATTGACTTTGGGTGGTTCAACCCCCGGAACAGTTTCCTCATTCAACCTCTGATTGATTTCAGATGGGCATTTGAATGATTTNCCCCCCCCCCCACCGACAAGCACACACAGTTCGGAACTATAAGACTTCCTTGTTCATCCTTCTTCACTGACTAAAATGGCGCTTATAGTTAGTTATCGCTAACTCCGAGAGACACGTGAGAACCTCAAATTTCCCGCTCAACCTTGAAACAGCTTCCGGTGATCAAACTGATTTCTTTACTTGAACGTATTTGGTCGATTTATTGTTGCTGATCTGTTAAATCGTTCATCGAAGTAACACATCGCATTAATGATCGTGATCTTGGCAGTTTCACCGATCTTTTTTTGATGCTGGGGTGCATGGCATTATCGCACTACAGTGAGACACGTTTCAACTGTTCTCTACAAATTCTGACATCGTCTTCTGGTTCTTCGATAAAATAGCACTTTTCACCGTTCTCACCTGCATCGTGCGAACAGGAGCAACGTGACATTGTGCGTAGCTGTCGGCGACCAGTAAATTTCATTTTGGAGGCTTGTATGTACTTACTTCAAATGCCAATAAAGCTGTTCATGATCAGTTTCCGCCGCCGGGTTTGAACAGTTGGTAGTTTGCAGGGATGCATTGACACAGGTTCCTTCAACTCTGAGGGACACATGAAAACTTCGAATGTTCTACTCAACCTTGAAACAACCTCCGGTGATCAAACGTTTTGAGCAGATTCACTAACCTGATTAGCAGTCACGATTCTGTAAAAGATCTCGGATTTACTGTAGCAGACGTATCTTAGCAGGATCTGCAAATTGTCCACATAAATATAAATTTTCAGATTCGAAAAGCTTTGGATTTTGCCTCATTATATCCGTTTAATTCGTACCGAACGTTTTACTGTTCATTTCATTTCTCATCTGCTTTTACCCGAACCAAATAAAAAAACACGACTTCAACCTGATTTGTGGTTTGAATAAAATTCGCTGACATTAAAGCCACAGTGCCGGAATTGTTTTGTTTCATGTTTGCAAATCGGTTACGTTTTGTACTAGGCTCATCAAGATAACATCAATCCCAATGAAGACCACTCTGTGGGTGCGTATCTGCCCACGATCTCTCGATCGTAACAGGGTAATCCAAAACCAACTCTCTCCACGCGCGCCTCTGCCCCCGTGTACCTCTGTCCGTTTGCGATTTTTTTTTCTATTACACGTATGTGAACACAATTAAAGGGTAAACCTCATAATCCAAAGATACACGGTACTTGGGAAGTTATGGGTATGGGAAAGATTCAAACTGGAACCAGCTTCTTGATGTTGTACATTGGAGGGAGGACTGAAATAGAACATTTGTAGTGTTTTTTGGAAACATATGATGATTGAAAGTTAGAAATGCGACACTTGAGGAGAGCCACTTGAAATGGGTGGTTAGCCGCTTGTGCGCGGGATCTACGAGGAAGAACAAGCGGGCGAGGGACATAAACGGAAAGTTCACGAGAGCAAAATCCAAACCACTATCGGTAGAATAAGGATAAAGAAGCCATAGACTGACTGTGAGCTACTGACTGTAAGTTGCATGTTAGGAACGGGTGGTTGATGAGACGGATGGCCTTACGTTGAACCCGATCAAGAAGAGGAAGAGAGCTGGGCGAAGTTCCACTTCACACATGACTGCAGTATTCAAGTGTAGGGCGAATCTGAGCTTTGTAAAGCGAGAGGAGGTGAATGGTAGTGAAGAAACTTCTCGCGCGGAAGAGGACGCCGATTTTGCGCACAGAGCGGAAAGCAAGTAAATAAATATATGGCGACCGTCAAAGAGAAGAAGATAAGGAAAGTCCCAGTAGGTTGCATAAATCTTTGGGCCGGAAAATGTTACAGTCAAAATTTCACGAACAGGAGGAAGATGCGTGTTTAAGCGAAATCAACATAAAGGAAGTTTTAGTCGCATTGAAGAGAACACAGCTGCGACAGCTCCAAGCATAAATAAGGCTCAGGTTTGAATTTAGAGAGGAACTCTCGTCACTAATACTGGAGTTAACGATGCATGGAGAGCAATAGGACAAAGAAGAATGTAGGGTAGTTTCATTGCAAAAAGCTGTGAATACGAATTGAAGTTGAAGGAAGAAGGTTATCAATAGTTAAGGGAAGAGGAAGTAAGGAACCTTGGGGAACACCAACATTCTTAGACATGGTTCCAGCTACTCGAACGGAGATGTTGCAGTCTTTGAGATCGTTCGCATGTGGCGTGTATTAATGTAACGTTTGGCAACCGCGTGAGTTCTATCGTGGGTACTTGTATCTCGCACTGAATCTTTTGGTTCATGGCATTTCGTTTGCTTCGTCTTGCAGGTTTAACTACAGCTCCGACCCACGGAAGACCTGTCTGCCAGTGTATTTCCTCGCCACCCGGTGTTCCATCTCCATACTGCCGTTTTCCGTCGTCGTTCGGTGCGCGCAAACCCTCGTAGCGTCTCCAGCTGCACCCATACGAGCCACATATCGTGCATCGCTGTTCACTC